CTCTCTCTCTCTCTCTCTCTCTCTCTCTCTCTCTCCTCTCTCCTCTCTCTTGGCTGGTGGGCTTTTTGGGGAAAAAAAAGCTGTAAGGCTGTAACATGAAATATTCTGTGAACACTGTTTATGTAGCTGCTGATATCTGAGAAGCGACTGTCAGAGCCTCTTCCAAGTCTCCTGGAAATACTTTCCTGTTTGGAATTTGGCACAGCAGTTGCTCTCCTCTTGGCCTTCATGCACTCATTCATCACTCAGAGATCATTTCTTTGCATTTATACCCTGTACTAGACCTGAGAGAAACAGATGAAGGCAGTTCTCAGGGAACTGACACTGCAGGCAATCACTCACTTTCTTCTCTTCACACAGGTCTCTGAAGTGCCATGGCAACAGTTCCTGAACTCACCAGTGAAATGATGGCTTACCACAGGTCAGTGGGGAACTGGAAAGTCGGCATGTCTCCAGGCCTTTCAGGAGTGGAAGGTTATCTACCTAAGAGGCCAGATTTATCCCCCACTAACCTTCTTCAATGGATAACACAGTTCAAATCAATCTGTTTTAAAGGCTGATTTTCTCACGCACACACCCAGCCCAATCTTGGGGCTTGAAAGCTATCTGGGAGTTGTCACTACAAGGGCACTTACAGATGTAATGGAAAGAAAAACTTGCAAATGGACAATATCAGAGACCTCTTTGCAAAGTTCGACTTGGGTATGGGACGGGAGAAAGCCAGATTTTATCTGACTCCACTAGTCTAGAATTTAGGTGTCAGGATCCAATAGCTGGTCCAAAAGCTGCGTTTAAATTGTTCCTTGCGTATCACCATGGAACTTGTCAGAAGTCTTCAGGAAGCCTTGAGTAATTTGTGCATAGATTTATTAACAGTGAAGGCTTATGTGCACAGAAAGAATAATAATCCTGATTAGAAAACATCACTGAGTCATGCCTCTGTTTTCATTACAGTGAGGAGAATGACCTGTTCTTTGAGGTTGACGGCCCCCAAAAGATGAAGGTGAGACTCTGGGCCTAGCTCCCAACCTGTGGAGGGGCTCTGACATGGGAAAAAGCTAAAAATGCGGTTGGAGGATACTGAGATGTCTTGCTCCCAAGATATTTTGTGATGGAATGACTTTGCCTCTCCCAGTGAGACAGACATAGGCAGCCCACATGCTCCTCTGGCCTCCACACAGCTCCTGCCCTACTGTAGTCCATCACTAAAGCTTGCTGATGGTAGCCTACTGTTTTTGGCTAGGAGGACAGCCAAGCCTTCAACACAAATTTGGTCTTCCTTTCAAATGGGTTCAGCCAACTTTAATCACTGAAGTCAAATTCTGTAATACAGAAAGGATGACCTTCAGAATTAGTACATCTTTCCCCTCTAAGGTAGAATAGACTCTATGTTCCCTGGGGAGGATGTTAAGATAATTTTAAAAATTGTTCACCTGTTATTTGACTTTGGACAAATGGACAAGTCCATTTGTCACTTTGGTCCCAACTGAAAAAAATCAGCGCATAAATCCAATGATCTCTGAGATGCTGGCATTCTGCAACAGCCTTCAATCCTGAAACATTCTCAGTGCTAGCCAAGTTCATCCCACCAAATGGACATTTTTCAGACTCTCACACCCATAGAGTCATGCTGACATCCCAGCTGCCCCTTCCTCAACTTATATGATGACTGATAACTCTCTAATGCAGAGTGGCATCAGCCCAGCAAATTCACTGTCTGGCTCAGTAAGCAGCTGATCACACCTTTTTTTTCCAGTTCATGACAGTGTTCCCTAGCCTCAAAATCCATTCCTCAGTCTTGTGAAATAATTATTATTTCTAAGACCACTGTGACTGATTAACTTGGTCCTAGGTAAAGCCCCTTGCCTTCCCTGACAAGGAATGCCTAGCCCGCAATGCCTGCTCCAGAGCCTGACTCTCACTGGGAGACTCTGTTCCAGATAGGAGCTTCTCTCCTGCTCTGCTTTCCTTTGGGCTGTTAGAGGTCTCCATCACTGTCCTTCAAGCTTTGAAATTATTATCATGCCTCTGGGCAACTTTGGTTAAGCCTTAATGTAGCCTTCCTCTGAAGAACAGGAAAATGATAACACAATTCACAAACAAACCATTCTTACAGTGTCTGCAGAACGCCTATGAGGAAAAGGATGTATGTAGAACATGTGAGAGCTTATTGAGTGGTCTTAGGTGAACAGAAGATATCACAATCATTATTGTCATGAAAAATGAAACGTACGTATACTGTTAGAGCACTCACTAGGGACACCAAAAGATAAAGGCTTTAAACAGGTGTAATTATATGGTGAGGGAAGGCCTGTATAAGAAAGATAAAGTAGAAAATAGTGTTTAGCCTAAAACAATAATGCACAGAACATCAAAAAGCCTGTATCTGGTTGTCATGTACCCATAGGCAAGTGATTTAACTTCTCTGGCCTTTAGAAATACAAGGATTGTGGCTGCAAATTTGATTAACTCCAAAGGCCCTTAGTGCTCTCTGATGCTAACATAGACATTCACTGGCCTGGCCATTCAACGTGCCTTATCCTTGGTTTCTCCACAGTGTGGCTTCCAAGACCCAGACCTCTGCTGTCCAGATGAGGGTGTTCACCTGCAAATCTCCTACCAGCACTTCAACAAGAGCTTTAGGCGGGTGGTGTCGCTCATCGTGGCTGTGGAGAAGCTAAGGAAGAAACCTCTTCCTTCCTCGTGGGCCTTCCAGGATGAGGACCTGAGAACTTTCTTTTCCTTTATCTTTGAAGAAGGTACTTGATGAGAGCTAGGAGCAGACAGCAGACCTTCACTCAAGTCCTTCTCAGTCCATCTCAGCAGTCATCCTCCCTCCCCAAGCAGAAGCCAATTAATGGTAGAAGTCTCAGCCATTAGAAAAAAGCAAGGAAGCCTCCAAGCCAAACTGCTCATCTCTTAAGCTGAAACTATTCTTAAAAGAAGACTTTAATAACTACTTACATTTGCAACTCACCTATTCATTCTCCAAGTACATTCACTTTACACTATTGCTGCCAAGTCTCACAATCTCTTAGATGAGCTAGTGTTAATACTAACAATATGTAAGTACCACTGTTGCTAGTTCATAGTGAGTGATCACAGCACTGAAGCTTATTTCATGGTGCCAGATCCAGTGCTCTTACCCACCCTTTTCCCAATTTCTCTAAATCCCACTAAAGTTAGAATAGAACTTTGACCATGCATTCTTAAATGTCATCCAATAAACCAAATTTTGATGCTTAAATTCACTAGAATTGCTCTTTTAATTAGAAGAGCTAACAACATTTGTGCTTCAACTTTCAGAACCCATCCTCTGCACCACATGGGATGATGAGGTGCTTGTGAGTGATGCACCCCTTCGACTTCTGAGCTGCAGGCTCCGAGATGAACAACAAAAATGCCTCGTGCTGTCTGACCCATGTGAGCTGAAAGCTCTCCACCTCAACGGACAGAACCTGAACCAACAAGGTAATGAGGCATGGCTTGGCTTCTCTTCCTGGCCTCCTGGTAGCTCACTAGTTTGCCATATTTTACGATGGAACACTAAGGCAAATTGTCAACAGAGGAGAAAAAGAAACATATAAAAAAAGGACCATTGTCCTGCCCAGTCATGTAGAGACGATGCACTGTCAATACTCCCTTAGTGCGGGTTTATTTGATGGGCACATCCTAACTGCCTGTGGGTTCTTTTTTCCTGATGTTGAGGCTGAAACTGGGGTGGCAGAGAAGAGATATACCCATTCCTGATCCCAACTCCATCCCTTGTCCCTTGCATCCTTCCTGTCCAATACCACATGGTTCCTTGTAAGGACACTTGATGACCATCAGGAAAGTATATCTCTTTGCCATAAGTGGCAAATGTTTCAAGTGTGATGAGGCCATCTTTAGCTGTGGTGACAGACCTGGCATCATGCCACAGTGACCACTAACAAAACAGAAAAGCAGCTGTCAACAGCAGCATGCTTTCCTCCATGGCTGCTGCTCTTAGAAGCTTTAGAGGAAGCTTCCTGCTCTTGGCCAGCTGAGGATAATCTCATTTCCTTATAACTGGGTCATAGCAGTGGCCCACATCCTCCAATTGAGACTGCTGTGACTCGGGAAGATCAAAATGGATCTCTCTCTCCTGAAGCCACTTTCCCCAGCTAAGCCAAGTCTTTCTACTTGCTGCTCTATGTATCTCAAACAGTACTTGTACCTGGGTCCTTGGGAGCCCAGCTTTACCTGTTTTCATATTAATCAAGTTGTTCTGATCACATTGATGGCACACAGCCAGCCAGTAACATGATGGATTTCTTCTTTATCATTTGAAAATTAGGCCCCCTTTCACTCTTCATTGCTACTAGTAAGAGGCTCTGAGGGAACCCTGAATCAACCAACCGATCCTTGGTAGTATCTGTGAGAAACCCAGATATCCCATCTGCCATGCCAAAGGAATCTCTCTGCGTTCCCACAGAGGATTGTACAGGTTCTGCGTGAAGTCTGGTGTTTCAATCCAGCCTGCCCTTTGGTGTCTTTGACTCAGACTCCTCTCTTTTCTCCAGTGGTGTTCTCCATGATCTATGTACAAGGAGAAGCAAGCAACTACAAAACACCTGTGGCCTTGGGCCTCAAGGGAAAGAATCTGTACCTGTCCTGTGTGATGAAAGATAAGAAGCCCACCCTGCAGCTGGAGGTGAGTGAATAACCATTAGAGAAGTCCTACTCAGTTCCTTCTGAAGACCTTCAACCATCACTTCCCAGATACCCACCTGCTTCCTGCCCCTCTCCAGAAAAGGTGGAAGTAGATCTTCTTGACAATTTTGTATAAATGTAAAATAAATTGACATACATTTTAAATGCATATAAACCTCACTCCCACCATGGGAAATTAAATCAGTTTCTATTGTTATCCTTCCAACAAATCATGCAGTGTCAAGGCTGGAAGGGTTACATATTGCTACAGTTTTCTTCATTTGATAAACAACAAGTTGGAGAGCTAACCAACTAACAGGGCCTGCCATCAGTCTTTACTCCACTTCCAAAATCACCCCACCACCACCACCACTTGCAACTTTCCTAGCGAAAGCTTCATTCCCAAGTTGAAATCATTCTATCCAGGGCTTTGAGAAAAAAAAATAACAAAAATACCCAGAAACAAGGCGTTCATAGCAGGTTTAATGTAATTTCCACTTTTCACCCAAATGATCTCCCATGATTAGTCTTAAGATTCAGAAAAGTCAAGTCTCTTTCAGTGATTACACAGAAAGTTGGGGTCCAGAGATAAGGAGTATGGCCCCTGATCCCACCACCTGCTTATGAGTCTCCTCTCTAGCAACCCCAAGAACATCTCTACCATAGTATCTTCATGTCTTCCCTCACAAAAATTCTTATTTCCATTTTTCTGCAGAGTGTAGACCCCAACCAATACCCCAAGAAGAAGATGGAAATGCGGTTTGTCTTCAACAAGATAGAAATCAAAAACAAGGTGGAGTTTGAGTCTGCTCAGTTCCCTAACTGGTACATCAGCACCTCCCAAGCAGAACATAGGCCTGTCTTCCTGGGAAACAATGGTGGCCAGGATATAGTTGACTTCACCATGGAATCCATTTGAGGTTCTCCTAAGAGGTCCACATGTGTGGACTGTAGCCTCAGATTCTAGTGCTGCACAAGGGGGAGAGGACAGTTTTGAGTGACTACAGACTGGACTTGACTGTTTCGGCTGCATTCTCTAGATGTGCTGAGGAGCTCACTTGTCTCCCGCCAGGGTTCAGCTCTCTGCCCCTAGAAGAATCCTCAGTCCTCTGCTAAGCCAGGTCTCTCTTGTGTCTCCTGCTTCCTTGGAGTCAACCTGACAGAAACCATCGCACATTCTATTCAAAGAAATTCTCTGTCTTTTTCTCCTAGCTTCTGATGGGCAACCACTTACCTACTTATTTATGTATTTATTGATTGGTTGATCTATTTAATTTAATTCAAGGGGGACAAGAAGCAGCAGTACATGCAAAAGAATCTGGTATTCAATATTTATTGAATCAATTTAATGTGGACCAGTGCACAGCCTGCATCACGTTCTCTTATTGAAGCTGAAAACAGATAAGCTTATTTTATGTATGTGGGAATATTTATGAATGAAGTATTATCAAATTGTTCAATGAGTCTGAAATATATTTCACTAAAAAAACACTTTCTTCCTTGGTTCTGACTTTTCTTGGATTTTACACATAAAGACAAAGATAAATTAGGTCAGAAGAATTCTCACTGGAGGTCTAGAAACCTACCTCCTCACTGCTGAGTGCTTTAAAGTCCCTAGATACACCCCTGGCCACAAAGACAAACCTCTCCCACTCTCCCCCTTAATTTCCAAATTTTTTTTAAAGAGGATATTCAGGGGCTGAGGAGATGGCTGAGTAGGTAAAATAGTTACAGTGAAACCATGAGGACCTGAGTCCAATCTCCAGTACCCATGTAATCCTAGCATGGTGGCACGTACCTGTAATCCCAGAGCTGGGGAGGCAGGGACAGGAGGATCTCTGGGGCTTGCTGGCCAGTCAATCCAGCTGAATCCATGGGTTCCAGGTCCAGTGAGAGTCACTGTCTTAAAAAATAAGGTAGAGAGCAATTCAGGAAGATACCAGATATCAACCTCTGACCTCCACCCATACACATGTGCAAACACATCCATACACAAACACACATACAGACACATGGACACATACATACATGCATGCACACACACATACACACACAAAGGGATATTCAGTACACAGGATTCATCTAAAAAATAAAATCAACTGAAACAGTACAGGGAGTAAGGGCTGATGGTAACAGCTGCAGGTGATTCATCTATTCATTTATACCACAGATACCTCTTAAGCAAATGATGTTCAGTGGGGGCTGAAGTTTAGACATGAGAAAGCTGTGAGTTCCTAGAGAGGATGGATGGGGAGGGGAAAGAGAGAGAGAGAGAGAGAGAGAGAGAGAGAGAGAGAAGACATAAAGCAATATGGCAAGTAGAGACATGACCAAGGACAAAGGAAGAGGCCAGGAAGGAGTCACAAGATCTGGCAGGGGGTGGGGGTGGGGTGATGTAACATTTGAGTCAGACCCAAAAGAACAAGTGAAAATTCACCCAAAGAGACAAACACAAATACAACACTGCAGGTAGAGACCCGAGTGAACAGAGGCATGGGTGTATGCAAATGAATGATGAAAAACATCAGGATTCCATAAATCTCCAGAAGCAAAGTCAAAATACAAAATAAACTACAGGGAAAAACATGTAATGCATCCCAGATAAAGGGAAAATTTACTACACATACAAAGAGCTCCCTTAATAGGAACAACAATCCAACAAAACAATCCTCAAGGAAGGGCTATTAACAGGCGAGGCTGTCCACAGAAAGGGAACTACCATTAGATCCTGGGAAGAGCAAACATTACTCAACATTACTCATAAAATGAAAGTCAAATTGAAAGTACTTTGAGATACCGATGTTCTCCTATCTGATTGACAAAAATCAAAAGTTCAACACACCCCACTGGGTGAAACTGGGGAAACCCCATTGCTAAACATTATACGTGGAAGTATGACATCTACAAAAAAAAATGCAACAATGACTGTGATAATCACAAGTGCTCTTCACTTTTGGCTCAGAAATCACCTCTGAGGATTTAACCTACAAATGTATAGAATCTATTTGAAAGGGTGTGTAATCAAAATTACTCGTTGTGTATAGATGATTTTCAAAAAATGAAAACAACTCAGGTGTCTATTAACAAGAGATTTTGAGACATAGAATACTATGCAACTGTAAGCGTAAGAGAGACCTTTCTGCACCAATGTGGAATTCTCTCCCAAACATGCTGATACCTATAAAAATGCAAGATACAGACAGTGTTTAAGGAATACTGACTTATGTAAGAAAGGGCAGAGAGAACAGGGAAATCAATACAGTTTGCTTGTACTTAATCTGAAAAATTCTAGAAAATACATCCCAAAAACACTAAGGAGCACTAGGAAATAAAATATATGGAAACAGGTGTGAGAGTAGGGCCTTTTTCCACATACTTTATACACTATTTGTTTTTTATTCATCCATCCAATATCACTTTTTTGTTGTTATTTGTTTAGCTTTATTGTTTGAGAATTTCATACATGCTTATAATGTGCTTTGATCAAATCCACCCTCATTCTCTCCCTTCCAATTTCTCTTCCCCCACCACTTTTCCCTCTCAGCTTCATGTATTTTCTCTTTAAAAAAAAAAAAAACACTGACTGTATGTGCAGGGATGTAGGACCATCTACTGGAGCACGGATAGCCTTTCAGGGGCTGCATCCCTTGAGAAAACATATTCTCATAAATTAAATAAAAATAATAAATAAAATATTTTTTAAACTTATACTCCCTCCCCCAGTATCCATCAGTCACCAACAGCTTCTCAGGTAGAGGTGGAAATGCATAAGCCCCTCCCCTCTCCATGCTGGGATTTTGTTTGGTACCATCATGTTAGTAAAGACACAGCCTATAGAGTAGAAAAAAACCTATACCAGACATACATCTGACCGAGCGTTAGTGTCTAGAATATACAAAGAAATAAAAAAGTTAAGCACCAATAAAAAAATCAATTAAAAATTAGGGCATGGACTCAGGGAGTGGGGATCCACATCTTTAATCCCACCACTCAGGAGGCAGAGGCAGGTGGATCTCTATGAGTTTGAAGCCAGCCTGGTCTACATAGTGAGTTCCAGGCCAATTGGGATATATATATATATATCTCCACAACTTTAATCCCACCACTCAGGAGGCAGAGGCAGGCAGAGAGATCCTGGCCAGCCTGGTCAAGTTCCAGGCCAGCTGGGGCCACAGGGAGACTCTATCTCTCTATCCCCTGGCTCTTACAGTCTTTCCAATCCCTCTTCTGCAATGACTCCTGAGCCCTAGGTGACAGAGGTTTGATATGGGTGTCCTACCAAGGGACATATACTCTGCCATCTCTTATTCTCTGCACTTTGGCCAATTGTGGTTTTCTGGGTTAATCGCCATCTGTTGCATGAGAAAATTTTACTGGTGAGAGTTCAGAGATGTATTAATAATTTTCTACCATCTGTTCCACTGAGTTTCCTGAGCCTTATGTGTGGAGGATGCACTGTAGATGTGTTGCTTAGGGTTAGGCTTCTCACAGACATTTATTGTCTGCATTTTACCTGTTGTGGAACTCTGTAATCTGTTGCAAGGAGGGTTTTTTTTTTTTTTTTTTTGGTGAGTTGTAAGAGGTACACTTGTCTGTAAATATAAGGATACATATTTAAAATATAGTAAGAAATTACATTTGTGTAGGACTGTAACAACAAAAGTAGGTTTTTCTCCAGGATCTATCACATTTGGCTATGCTTACAGGGCCACACATGAGTTCTCTCCCATTGAAAGAGCCTTAAGTCCAATTAGACAGCTGTTGGTTACCCCCAAGATAAAAGTGCCACTACTGCACCAGTAGAGATAGTTGCTCAGGCAGCCATTGTTGCACTTATTAGGCTTTACAGTTGGATATGACCATTGACTAATTTCCTCCTGAAATTCATAGGGAATCACAAAAGACTCCTGATAGTCAAAGCAATCCTGAACACAAAGAGCAATGCTGGGGGGAATTACCATACCAGATCTCAAGTTATATTACAAAACTATAGTCATAAACACAGCATGGTACTGGCACAAAACAGACATGTAAATCAATAAAGCAAAAGAGAAGGCCCAAACATAAATGCATGAAATTTAAACCACCTAACATCTGACAACAGTGCCAAGAAGACACACTGGAGAAAAGACAGCATCTTCAACAAATGGTGCTGGATCTCCACCTGTAGAAGAAGTAAATTAGACCCATCTCCATCCACCCTGCACAAAAGTCAAGTCCAATGAATCAAAGACCTCAATATGAAACTTGAAATGCAGAAGCTGTTAGGAGAAAACATAGGCAGCACCCTACAAGATATAAGTGCAGGAAAGGGCCTTCTAAATCAGATTTCAATTGCTCAGAAATTAAGGTCAATAACTGACAAATGAGATTTCATTAAACTAAAAAGCTTCTGTACAGCAAAAGAAACAATTGATCTAATGAAGAGGAAGCCCACAGAGAGGGAGAAAATCTTCACCAGTTACACATCTGACAGAGGATTAATATCCAGAATATACAAAGAATGCAAAAAACAAAGAACCAAGAAAGCAAATGACCCAATTAAAAATTGGCTGTCAGTGGATGAACCCACACTGAAATACATTATGAGGCACAAATTAGACTCTAGAGGCATATATATGATAGAGGGCATTAAATTGGGCAGGGGCAATAATGGGAGATGGGGATAGGGGACAGGATCTAAATATCATCAAATTATGTCATGAAAATTGCAAAAATTCGATAACAAAAGAAAAAATGGGCTATGAATCTCAACATAGAACTCTCAAAAGAATAAATTTAAAATAGCTAGGAAACACCTTTAAAAGTGTTCAACATCCTGGAGCCAGAAGTGGTGGCGCACGCCTTTAATCCCAGCACTCGGGAGGCAGAGGCAGGCGAATCTCTGAGTTCAAGGCCAGCCTGGTCTACATAGTGAGTTCCAGGACAGCTGGGGCTACAGGGAGACCTGTCTCAAAAAGACCAAAAAAAGTGTTCAACATCTTTAGTAATTAGGGAAATGCAAATCAGAACTATATTAAGATTTCAACTTACCCCAGTCAGAATGGCTAAGATCAAGAGAAAAAAATGACACCAAATTCAGTTTGATTTTTTTAATCATGTGGATGTGTATCATCTAATCAGAAATGAAATAACAATAATTTAAAACCTTTTTCTAAAAACTGGAATTGAATGAACAATTTCATAAAAACAACTACTGAAATGTGTCGGTGCTTAGCAGTTTGCTCCTCATACCATTTTTCCTTCTCTCCAGCTCTCTGAGCCAGGGCAGAGGGTGAAGCATCTTACCTCTCCTAGTTTCAGAATGTCAGTGCCAAGTATGGGCTAAGGGAAGGGTGCTGCTGTGAATGAATCAGAAGTAACCTGTAGCCCAAGGAACAGCTCCCATTCCTAGAGTAAGTGATACAAATCCCCTCCCCCCCCTCAGATGCAAAGGGAAGAGCAGGCCAGGAAGAATGATGGTCAGTAAAGTCATCTCCTCTTGTGAGGAAGCCAG